TTCTCAATGAAATGCTCAGCAAAGGAATTCAACCAAATATATACTCCTACAACATTATAATGGATGGGCTCTGCAGGAAACATATGCTGTCGGATGCACAAACGTTGATAGACCTGATGAGAAATAATGGTATTTGCCCTGACACCGTAACTTATAGTATTCTCCTCCATGGGTTCTGTAGCAAAGGGAAGATTATTGAGGCAAAAAATATTCTTCGGAAAATGATCAGGAATGATTGTTCCCCAAATACTTACACTTGCAACATATTACTGCACAGCCTTTGGAAAGAAGAGCGAACATCAGAAGCAGAGCAAATGCTGCAAAAGATGAACAAAAAAGGATACCAATTCGATACAGTTACCTGTAATATAGTCGTCAATGGTCTTTGTAGGAGGGGTGAATTGGACAAAGCGGTTGAAATTGTTAGTGAGATGTGGACTAACGGACCTGCTTCCCTTGATAAAGGAAACTTAATTGCCAGCCTAGTAAATGACATCCAAAATGTATCAAATAGATTTCCAGATGTGATCACATATACAACCATAATTAATGGGCTATGCAAGGTTGGGAGGCTCGAGGAAGCAAAAAAGAAATTTATAGAAATGATGGCAAAAGGTTTGCACCCTGATTCTGTGGTCTATGATTCATTCATTCAGAGTTTCTGTAAGCAAGGAAAGATATCATCTGCTTATCGTGTCCTGAAGGATATGGAGAGAAATGGTTGCAGCAAGACTCTTCAGACTTACAATTCATTGATTATGGGCTTAGGAAGTAGAAACCAAATATTTGAAATCTATGGTCTGATGGATGAGATGAGAGAAAGAGGGATATGTCCAGATGTTTGCACATATAATAATATTATTAGCCATCTTTGCGATGGAGGGAAGATAAAGGACGCCACTTCCCTTTTACATGAAATGCTGGATAAGGGCATAACTCCGAATATATCCTCCTTCAAAATATTGATAAAAGCTTTCTGCAAATCCAGTGACTTTGGATATGCATATGAGCTATTTGAGGTAGCTCTGAGCGTATGTGGCCAAAAGGAACCCTTGTACAGTTTGATGTTCAATGAATTACTAGCTGGAGGAATGGTCTCTGAAGCAATGGAGTTGTTTGAAGCTTCATTAGATAGATCTTTCGGATTGAAAAATTTCATGTATAAAGATCTAATTGATCGACTATGCCAGGATGATAGGTTAAATGATGCTAATTTTCTTCTCCATAAATTGATTGATAGAAAATACGAGTTCGATCATTCATCATTCATGCCAGTGATTGATGGCTTAAATGAAAAGGGAGACAAGCAACAAGTTAATGAACTTGCAACGCAGATGATGAAATTGGCTTTAGGAGATGGCTATGGAAATAAGACTTGCTACAGTGAAAGAAGGAACATCAATGGAAAAATTAACAAGGCTGGTGGAAGTGACTGGCGAGATATATTGCACAGGTATTGTAATGAGGATAATCTTTTTCACCAATTTTTTCATCTCTCTTCATTTGCTGTTATTTGAATTGTCTTGGGAGACATACCTTGTTCTTTTCTTTTGTGGCTTATAAGGGGCTTGATTAAAACCTAAAAAATCCCAAAACTGTCTTAATTATAAATTATCAAAGTAAGTGAAATGGTGTAGGGTTCGCGCGAGTGACTGACATTTTCGGATGGGATTAGTCAATCTGCCTGTGTAGTTTTAAAGGTTGCTACCATATCTCTTGGGATATGACCATTGTTATGTAGAACTGTTGAATAATTCACCAAGTTTCCAGAAAATGTAATGTTATATAGCATGGTACTCTTGACATGATATAATCTTTGCGTTAATTGCTATTTCCTTATATTAATAGGCATTCGTGCACACAATTTAGGATGCTTGGGTATTCAGAATAACGTGAAAAAAAATTTTATTTTCATGTGAGGTGTAAAATGCTGTTGGCTTTTAAGATCAAAAGTGTACTCCTGCGTAACGTGTAATATTCATGTTTAATAATCTGTTACCTGTTTTAACAGGGACGACGGCAGTGGAATTGCATTGAAAACTCTCAAGCATGTACAAAAAGGCTGGGGTCAAGGAAGCATATCAAACTTGCAGCCTCTGAAAAATTATTTCGACGATTACTATGATGGGAGTGGTTAAATTTCTGCCAAGTTCCCTAATTTTATTTTATTTTATTTTTTTGGTAGATGGAGGGAGAAGCATGAGAACGTAAAGGCTTAAAATATTACAAAGAACGAAATAGAATATCCCTCTCTCTATAATACACACACCAAATAGTTCATAAAAACTGCTGAAGAAGCTCTATAGAATGACTGAGCTGTGTACAAATTCCTCAGATGCCTCTCAATTATCGCAGAATCTCTCTTTTCTGATGATTCGGTGATATTTGTTAGATAGTATTTTGACCATCCAATTCCTTTTTCTCATAACATCAAGAATTTTAATTTTATTTTAGATTATTCATATATTAATATGATAAATATATAATAGAAAATAAAAAAATAAAATTGAATTAGATTTGCAGTTGATTATCCAGCTTTAAAATGGTTGGCCTAAAGCTTGGATGAGCATTGATTACAACTAGATTTTACACCGTGTGGGGGCATTTTCTCTTTTTGGTTGAAGTCTAATAGAAGGAAAGCTTTCAATGAGTTTTATTTGTTGGAAAAATATATATATATATATATATATAAGTGATGTTATAAAAAGAATATGCAAAAAGAAAAAAAAAGTAAGAAATTAATTAAAAAAATTTGTAATTTCCATGTGCATTTATAGTCTCTTATCGCTTCATAATTTTGCGCCAAACAGTGTTGCCTCATGCTCTAATCTTTTGTGGCTTTTTGTCTGTAAATAGCATTCCCCACAGACCACTTCGGCCCCTCTTCCCTTCGATGTCGACGCCGGCAAACCTTTGTTACGGATTTTGTTTAGTATCTGGAAACGGCCTTCAGTGAATAAGCAATGCTTATAATTCTAGTCTTCCCATTGTTTAAATGTTCTTTCGGTACAACCTAAAGATTGTTTCTTCTCTGATGCAACACGTCATAACGAGAGGCTTTGCAAAAGCTGATCCGCTTGTTCAAAATAATTTTGTCTCCGTGACCCTCCGATTGTAATTTTCTGAGACATATGGTAATTCAATATAATTGTGTGTATGTCTTTAAGAAATTTGATTAAGCTTTGGGTAATTTTTTCTCTCTCTACTCTCTTTTTTTCCCCATATGGTGCTTTTTTTTTTATTCAGAAGGTATTTGAATGGAAAAAAAACTATAGTTTTAAAAATAATTTTACAATATATAAAGTAAATATGTGAAGAAGTTTGTCTAGATCTATAAAAAAATATTTTTAGAAAGCAATGTCGACAACAGCCAAACATCCCCAAATATGAAATGAACAAAAATTTGTACCGACGACAATATGTGGAGAGCATTTATGCGTTTTGATTATGCTCTGTCTTTTCCGCCCACTAATAGCACAGGAAAATTCTAACTTACTAGAACCGACTTTCTTTGAAATTTGACATTCGAACCTTGTGGAACTTCTTGCAACAGAGACAAAATAAAATAAAAGTTACCTTTGCTTTTAAAAAGAAGTGACCGAAAGAGCTACTAAAAGCAAACTAAGCATTTTTAAAAAAATTCCATCACTTCCAAGTTCATATGGTGAACAAAATGTTTTCGTATTTATTAGCATATATTCTAGAAAAAATTAGTTTTTGAGTCTTTCAAATTTTGATTTAATTATGACACAGTACGTTAACTGCTACCTAGTCACTAAACTTTTAACTATTCAATCCTTAATTTTTTTACCCATTTACTAAATTACCCCTAGGCACGTGCACTCACCCCGGGACATCCTACATGGCTTGCTGACACTGATAAAAATTGGTGATGTGGCTTCCAAGGAAGCTAGAAAATTTTAAAAAAAAAAAGAAAAGGAAATGCCATTCCATTTCCGCGCCTTCGTCTTTTTCCGCTCCCCACCTCTCAATTCTCAAACTGGAAACTCTGCTTTCTCTCCATCCCTCTGTATTTGCCTTTCAATCTTCTTCTTCATTGTCTTGCCGAGCTCCACCTCTGTCGTTTTCTGGCTAGTGGTTTCACCCACTATAGTGATAAAAACCTTGAGGAAAATCATCTCCTTTCTTTCAAAACCAGTCTCCATAATCCCCAGCTTCTTGCTTCATGGAACTCCTCAGCCCCACACTGCAACTGGTTGGCGTTGCTCATGAGCTCGACTGAGTTACCTCACTTTCTCTTTCCACTCTGCCCCTCAAAGGTCCGCTCTCTTCGTCCCTGTCCTCTCTTATCAAATTTACAGTCCTCAACGCACTCTCTGTTTCTGGTGCTCAAAGAATTATATCGACTCTGCTTTATTTTTTCCCCCCTTCAAATTTTATCGCTTACTGGGAAGCTACATCACCATATTTTATCCGTGTCAGCAGGCATGCAGTACTCAGGCTGAGTTGTACTACAATAAAATATTATAATTAGAAAGGAAGAACATATGCCGAGGATTACTTTATTAACTAAAAAAATTAAAAACTGAATTTTAATTAAGTTAAAATTTCAGCAACTAAATCATTGACGTGTTAAGGACTGAGCAGTGACCACTGAAAGTTAAGGACTTTCAGTGATTAAAAGATTAATTTTTTCTGTATTTTAAAAGTCTCACTCTAATGGTTTCGTGCTTCTCTCTCTAACTCGCATTTCATTCCCACAGATCACTTTGACTCCGATCGCTCTTCCCTTCCGTGTCGCTGGCAGCAAACCTCCTCTTATTACAGATTTTGTTTCGTATCTCATTTGGGTATTGCGTGATTATGGCTTCTATTTCGATATTTATTTACCTGAACACCATATCCATGACCTTAATGGCTAACACGGTTTGATCTTATCATTTTCCTCCTAATTGCTCTTTCTTTGATCATCCAGGTTGTTGCTGGCATACGTTTCCTATGTGATAATATTTTTTGGCGGTGGCGACTGCAATAACATCTTGGTCCAGTTTTGTTTTCATCTTATTTGATTAACTCTTGAGGCTTCTGTTTTCCCTCCCTACTCCTTTCTGTTCTTTTCTTTCTGCTTAAACTCATCTCTCCTGTTACTCAAGCAAGCCAAGATTTACCTGTGATAGGCAATCTTCTGTGCTTGTTCTTTCTAATGGACTCTTTTTCCAAGTTGTCGGGTATACAACATGATGTCTTCATCAGCTTCAGGGGCACAGACACACGTCATGGTTTCCTTAGCCATTTGAGAAAGGAACTGCGGCAGAAGCAAATTGATGCCTACGTAGATGACAGACCTGAAAGTGGAGATCAAATATCACCGGCGCTTTTAAGGGCCATTAAAGAATCACTCATTTCATTGATCATATTTTCAAAGGACTATGCTTCTTCAAAGTGGTGCTTAGAAGAACTTGTGCAGATTATTGAATGTATGGAGAAGCAAAAACAGATTGTAATTCCCGTTTTCTATAACACTGACCCCTCAAATGTGAGACATCAGAAAGGATCTTATGGAGATGCTTTATCGAACCATGGCGAATGTTATGAGGAAAGGGTGCCAATTTGGAGATCAGCTTTGAAAGAGGCTGCTAATTTATCTGGGTTTCATTCATCAAATTATGAGTAAGCTCTTTCCTTTGAACACTTTTTCCATTATGCAATGATGCCACTGAATTTCAGTCTTCTAACTTTCTTATGGTTATAGGGATGAGGCTGAGCTCATAGAAGAAATTGCCGAATCTTTGTCAACAAAGTTGAATATATTGTACCGAAGTGACTTCACAGATCTTGTTGGAATTGATGAAAGAATTGCAGAATTAGAATCATTGATGGATCAAGGGTCAAAAGATGTCCGTGTCATTGGAATTTGGGGTATGGGCGGTATCGGTAAGACAACCATCGCAGCTGCAATATTCTATCGATCTTGTTTTGAATACGAAGGGCATTGTTTTTTGGCAAACGTGAGAGAAGAAACTGAAAATCGTGGCATTATTTATTTGAAGAATAAAATGCTTTCTTCACTACTGAATGAAAATGATTTACAAATTGGCACCCCATATCTCATGCCCCCTTTCGTTAGGAGAAGGCTTCTTCGAAAAAGGATTCTGGTTGTTCTTGATGATATTAGTGATCCAGATCACCTTGAAAATTTAGTAGGAGCACTTGATTGCTTTGGATCTGGTAGTAGAGTCTTAATAACTACTAGAGATAAACAAGTGCTTGCTAAAAGAGTTGATGAAATATACGAGGTTAAGCCATTGACGTTTGATGATGCTGCTCAACTTTTTATGTTGAATGCCTTTGAGAATAATTACGTAGACATTGAGTGGATTAAATTATCAAGGAAGGTGATTAGTAATGCTAAAGGAATTCCATTGGCTTTGAAAGTTTTGGGCTCCTTTCTTTATGGCAAAAGCAAGGAAGAATGGGAAAGCCAACTTGAGAAGCTAAACAAAATGCCACATGCGAAAATTCAAGATGTGATGAGATTGAGTTATGATCAACTAGATAGGGAAGAGAAGAACATTTTCTTATATATTGCTTGTTTTTTGAAAGGATATGAATCACAACAAATAATACTTCTGTTAAATGCCTGTGGTTTCTCAACAATTATTGGATTGAGGGTCCTCCGAGACAGAGCTCTCATAACTGAAGTTAAAGAATCAGCTATCAGAAAATCAAGAATATTTATGCATGATTTAATACAAGAAATGGGTTGGGAAATTGTTCGAGAAGAATCAATTGATAATCCTGGAAACCGTAGTCGACTATGGGATGCTAATGACATATATCATGTATTAAAACATAACATGGTAAGAGTCATAATCCTGTGTTTATATACTTACAAATTATATTCTGTTTTTCCTCTTATGCTACTCCTATTTTGCAGGGGACTGAAGCCATTCAAAGCATAACTCTGAATGTGGCAAAAATTGAAGATCTGCAGTTAAGTCCAAAAACCTTGTCCTCAATGGACAATCTGAAATTTCTCAATTTTTATAAAGGTGCTTTTGAAAAGGGGAATTTACATCTTCCCAGTGGTCTTGAATTTTTGTCGAATCAGCTCAGACTTTTGCGTTGGGATGACTACCCTTCCAAGTCATTGCCGGCAACATTTTCGGCTGAAAACATTGTTACTATGAAAATGTACAATAGCAAACTTACAAAACTTTGGGATGGTGTCCAGGTAAATCTATATCTTTCTCGAAATGGTGTTTGGAAATTTGTCAAGAATTGTTTGTTTACGTGAACCCTCTCATTTGATTGTTACAGAACCTCGTGAATTTAAGGGAGATTCAACTTGCTGAATCAGAGTACCTGATTGAGCTTCCTGATTTTTCAGAGGCTAAGCTTCTTAAAAATGTCAATCTTAGCTATTGTACAAGGTTGCGTAGTGTTCATCCTTCTGTTTTAACTCTCCCCAATCTCAACCAATTGAGGCTTGTAGATTGCAAAGCCCTTACTAGCCTTACAAGCAGTGCCCCTCTAAAATCACTTACATTTCTCGTGCTCAGTGGATGTTCGAGACTCCGAGAGTTTTCAGTAACATCAGAGAAAAGGTTAGAACTGTTTCTTTCAAACACAGCCATCAATGATGAACTGTGGTCATCAAGTGGACGCCTTGGCAACATTGAAGAATTGAGTGTAGATGGCTGCCAAAGTCTCACAAATCTCCCCTACAAGTTAGTTGACCTTAGTGGTCTTCGTTCTCTTAGTATTTCTGGTTGCAACAAGTTAGCATCAAATCTGCATTTCCTATTAAATAAGTTACGCAGTTTGAAAAATTTGTCACTGAATAATTGTAGCAGCTTATTTGAACTGCCCGAGAACATTAGTTTCTTGTCATCGTTACGTGAGTTGTCACTCACAGGGTCAACTAATTTGACAACACTGCCTGCTAGCATCAAGCATCTTTTGAGGCTACAATGTCTTAGGTTGGACGAATGCAAAAGGCTTCAATCCCTGCCAGAACTTCCACCCTCTATTGCACACTTGTTTGCAAGGGACTGCACTTCCCTCGAGACCCTAAAGTTAACTTCAATGTCTACAGTCTCATTGGAAGATGAAGTATGCTTTCACTTTGGAAATTGCATGAAATTGGATCGGCAATCAATTAAAGTTATTGAGGCAAAAGCGCTGCTTGAGATGGATAAATTAGTATCAGCTGTTGAAACAGGCACTGCTTGGACTATGCAGGCTCAACTTGTATATCCAGGAAGCAAAGTTCCAGAATGGTTCATGTACAGGTCAACACAGTCTTCCATCACTGTGGATCTCTTCTCCATTCCACGACCTAAGGATTGGAGTTTTATATTCTGTGCAGTTGTTTCTCACTCTGAATCCTTCGTTTACTTTGAAACTGAGTGGTATTTTAGTGATGGCCAACAGGTTTTGGATGAGATTATGTATTACTTTTGCAAACATATTGGCATCATTCAGTCAGATCATGTCTGTCTCTGGTATATCTCAGAGCTTCCTTCACAGGTGCAAAGGATAATTGAAGAGAAGAATACTGATCAGAGCACCACTGGTCATGAATCAGTTGAAATAAAATTCATTGTTAAAACTCCTAGTCCAGTTCCAGTTTTGGATGTCAAGGGGTGTGGGGTATGCCCAACGGGTGCATCAGGATATCGAAATTATATTCAACAAATGGAATCGGTGTTACAGTCACAACCCAATTCATTGGGAATCAAAGGAGGTTGCTCCTGTGACAACACTAATGACAAAGAAGTGGTTCCTAGGAAGTCCAAGGATTTTATCTTCCCAAGCCCACCAACTGGGGCGTCGAAGAATAGAACACGTGGCTTGAAAGATATTATGTTTTTATGATATTAAGTTCAGATTTCCTTTTTCTTGGTGGATTGAAGCAAAAATTCAGGTGATTTGTTTTTCCTCTATTTTCCTTGACATTCAAAATGAGCTTATCCTCGTGTTGTGCTCCCTATCTGTTATTAGTTTGATAGGTTTTATGGAGATTGAGTCTTTGTAAAATCCAGTTGATGGAAATGCACAGATTGGGCAGGTTAAATTGCGTATTTAAGCTTTCCTTTTATCCGAAATGGAATGTATTGCAATGTAATCTTAATTTCCATAGGCGTATTTGGTGCACTTTTAAGAAAAAACGAAAACAAATCTTTTTAAATAGAAAATGGAAAGACAAAAATATCCCTGATAATTACAAAAATTACTTCTTTTTGCTCCCCCTCCTTTATAACCTTCTCAAACTGAGAAACTTTGCTCTTATCTTTTACTTCCTATTTTCCAAACAGAGCATTTGTACTTTTGTCACCCCATTAACAGCACACATCATACAGCTGTAGTTTTCTCCAAACCGCAAGTATGAAATATCTCACCTTTTATCTTTCACGGACTTGTGTTGCGTCCGCTTAAGAGTTACACGGAGGATCCAATTTCAGGACCAATGTGCAATGTACCATCATTTGTGTATTGGTGAAATGCAGCCTATCCTTGCAAATTCTAAGCGCTGATACTACATGCATTCCTGGCTCTCCAGTCCAACTCCCGTTTTCAAGCTTGTGGCTTTTTTGAGTAGTCACATAAATTAAAACTAAGAAATGATGCCAAAGCAGGCCATTTGAAATTCTAGGATCCTCAACTTCAGAGGATCCCCATGCCTGTGCATTATAATATAACAAAATGGGACAGAGCAAGATGTGAACGGCAAAACAGAGCATAGAGTCTCCTCAAGCAAAAAATAAAAATGAAAGAGGACAAAAAGACAAAATGTAAAACGATGCTGCTTCTTTTTTTATTTTGTTCCTTCGGAAAAGCTACAACAACACATTTTCTTGAAGTCTCACATTTGACTACTCCCTATGTCTCTAAACGTAAGTCCTAGTTTTTAGAATTGTTTTGATCCCTAGTTATAAGTCTTATTACAAAGTTCTGGATGTAATTAAAACATAATACGTCTTATAAAAGACCCCATTTACATATCTTGCCTGGCAAGGGGGCCTATGTTAGTACTTGGCTTTCAGCACATTTTATGTGTATTTAGAAGAAATGAGGTTGGTACCCCCCCCCCCAAAAAAAATCTCCCTCACTCCTGTTTTCACTGTTCTAAAATTGTGAATTCATTATTTAAGTCCATTCAACGACAAAAGAATACAGGAACGAGCAAATCTAACTCAAGCTAAAATCAATCGGCCTCGTTATTTTTGTTTCTTGGGGTTACAGCTTCTTACCCAACGCATCCTGATCAATATAAAAAGTATAAAATTTATAATAAACCAAAGCATTACCAATTAATGTTGAAATCAAACAAGAATAGTAAAGCAAGGTTCGTATAAAGTTCCAATAGCGGGAGATTCAAGTTATGTCATAATAAGGATTTTATTTTTTGCCAAGAAGAATTAGTCCAGTTGGTAAGGAATCGGCTCATAACTCACAAGGTTGTGAATTCGAATCTTACTGCTAATATGAAGACCTTGTTAGTGGACAATTTATAAATACCTCTATAAGCGCTTTTTGATGCCAGAGATATGTTCTAACCCTAGTAAGCTCCTGGTACCCAACTCATCTAAACTTTTTCTTAAAACAAAAAAAAGCCGATTGTATCTTTTCCTCCCTTCATACGTCTAACTATCCGTATGTAGCATAAACATATTAAAACTCCCACCGTGAATTATTTGAACTACCTGACAATATCAGTTTGTTGTCTTCATTACGTGAGTTAGATCTCTCAAGGACTAACATGGAGACCTTGCCTTTAAGCATCAAACTTCTTTCGAGCCTGCAACATCTTTATTTGGATGGATGTGAAAGGCTTCGATCTCTACCAGAACTCCCTCCCTCTATCTTATCACTGTCCAGCAAGAACTGCCCATCCCTTGGGACCCTACGACATTTACCTTTGACGACCGAAGGTGAAGAAGGAAAAGAAGATTATGATGATGATGATGCAGATGAACCATATCCTTACTTTATGTTCACAAATTGCATGAAGTTGGATCGACGATCAATCAAAGTTGCTGAGGCAAAAGTTCTACTTGAGATAGATAAAGCCATTTAGGACATGGCTATAATGAAATATCCAGGAGAAAGAATTCCAAAGTGGTTCATGCATAGGACTACACAGTCTTTGGTAACTGTAGGTCTCAATTCGATTCCCCAAACTTGGGATGGCGGTTTCATTTTCTGCGCCATTATTTCTAAATCATCACCGACGACATGCATCGATGCCAAATGGTTTATTGATGGTCAATATGCTTGCTTGGCTTCCTGCCCGACATCTGAGCATCAAGATTACATTAAACAAATTAAATTGGCATTGGCATCCACATCCCAACTCTACTGCAATGGGGTTTGCTCCTTTCACAAAGAATATATATATATATATATATATATATATATCACATTTTGGATGAATTTGAAGAAATGATTTTGAGTTTTAAAGCTCTCAAGCTGAATGTTCTGCCCACTTCATATGTGCATGACCCCCTCCACCTTAAAAAGGTATGTATGCTCTTGTTTTAGTAGTTATATACGCGCACACATGATTTTTGTTCATAGTACTCCTTTTTTGTTTTTACGTACTAATTAGGGCATCCTTATGTTGTATGATGACATGCATACAATTAATTTAAGATTTTTTTTTCAATAAAATTGATAGCATAAGCAACAAACAAAATGAGGATAGGCGGAAGACTGTGTGTAGTTAATTCCTTAGGAGTTCTTAATTTAATAACTGTTACTCCCTCCGTTCCTTATTATAAGAGACATTTGATGCTTATGGCATGTTCCTATATATAAGAGACACTTAAAAGTTGTCTCTACTTTTTTGTGTTGATTTTCTATTTTACCCATATTTATTGTCTCCAACTCACACTTTCTCTCCTTCCCACTTCTCTTTCTTTTAATAGTTTACTATTGTTTTCTCTCATGTTTTCTCTCCTTATTAATGAGGGTATTTTTGGAAAAGAAATTATACTTTTTACACATTGATTGTTCTTAACTAATTTTAACTGTTTTTTTGATCAACGTAATTCGGTTATTCGTCTCTTATAATAAGGAACGGAGGGAGTATTATTTTAGTTTATATAAGTTCCCGGTACATTTAGCTTTGTATGACCTTGCATTTGGACCTCGCGTTCTTCATATGGGGTTCATAAAGTTAAAAAGTCGAGACTGGTAAAAGAAAATCTTTGGAGAGTCAAATAATGTCCTTTAAATTGCTGTGATTTATGTTTTATTTTGTAAATAAAAGAACGTTTATTTTATAAATATATTTAGGCAAAAAAAAAAAAAGAAACTGGAAATTAATAAATACAAAATCAGACTTGGTAACAACACTTTATTTAACATTGATAATATTAAATTTGTGAATGACAATAAATTCTTGTTGATATTTTTTATTTAATATTTACTAATTTCTAACTTTTTTGTTCGTTATTTTTTTTAAAAAAAATACTCCAAAATGAAGCATCTCAGTATTTCCAAAATGAGTCATGTCACTATCTGGGAGTGTCTTTAACTCTTTTTGAGTGTCAAGCCATGTGTGTGGGCCTTCGAATTTCTGGCACTTTCCCAGATCAAGAATTTCTGGCACTTTACTTTTCTTTCCCCCTTTCCGTATAATTTGCTCCGTAATAATGCGTGGGAGTAATATTATTTTAACCCCTGCAAAGTCCAACCAATTAAAGTCATCCTTATCAATTTATTGTTACTTTTTTTTTAGACATTAAATTCACCTCTAATTTTAAATTTTATTATTGTTTAATATACACTACATTACCTTACATTACCTTCAAAAGTATAAAGTCTACATGATAATAAATAAGGACAGACTAATTATAAAAAATTATTTTTACACTACATTACCTTCAAAGGTATAAAGTCTACATTACCTTACATTATTTGTATGTTTTATGAATTTAAATTCTTCTCTTTAAAATAAGGTAATCCGACCAATCATGCCGGCAAGTCATTTAGGAGCGATTTTCTGTAACTTCTCCTTACGTGATTAGTAAGGGATGAAGGCTAAAGGGAATACATACCAGTAATTTTCTGGTTAAAAAAGAAACTATACCAGTAATTTTAGAAACGACTGGCAATAATTCGGGTTACGTTAATTAAAACATAGTTATTCCCCAGTTTTCTGTTTCACCTTTAATTATAGCTATAACTATCTGCAGCTATAAACGAACTTAAGTTTTCACAAATCTGAAAACAAATTAAATGAAACTAATTACCTTGGCATTAAGGTAAAAAAATAATTCTTTTATTTTACTTTATTATATTTAATACAAATTAGATGCACATATGCATACAAATGCGTCAATGACCAATACCACGTGTCAGTGATACTATGTTGTGTGTGAACTTTCTCGGAACCAACTTCTCTCCTTTTTGCCTTGGCTGCCCTTCTTTATTTCAAACTACACTGTTTTGGTGTAGAATAGGTGAGGTAAAACCTTCTTTTCATTTTTTTTCAAATAAGCATTTAGTATTGTCAAATATTTTCTCAATATAGCTTATTTAGAATAATTTATAAACAGTTTTTTAATTGTAATTCAGAAAATACGTTATAAGTATGTGAGTAGAATTTTTTCTTAATTTATATAAAAGTAATTATAAACACTTATCAAATGCGGATACAAATAAGCCTCACTAGTCTGAAAAGAAAGCATTTAGTGTCACTCTAGTTTTAAGTAGCGAGGGCAGCGGATGAAAAGGAGAAAGGAAAAGAAGCCAGTTCCCACTTTCTAACTTGCTTTTTGGGTTTACTCTATCATGTCCAGTGCTGCCCGGGTGAAAAGTGAAAAAACTACAATAATTTGATCAACATTTCGGGAAAAGTGTCGGAGTAATTTCCTTGCTCTCTGTACTATGCTTTTTCATTTAGTGCTGTCTTTCCCTTCCTCTGAAATTTAAGAGCCACTGATTCATTAATTTACCCAACCTACTTCACTGCAACCTTATCTTCCCCTTCGGCCGGTTTGTTTCCTATTACAAATTCTTGGATCTGAATTGAAAGCAGTCCCAATTCTCTTTTGCATATTGTGGCCAGGCGATCTGATATGGCTTCATCTTCTTCCTCTACTCCATCTTCTCAATCCCCCAAGAAATATGATGTTTTTATTAGCTTTAGAGGTGAGGACACCCGCTTGAATTTCACAAGCCATCTTTATTATGCTCTTCGTGGAAAACAAATATATACATACATCGATGACAGACTCGAGAAAGGAGACGAGGTATGGCCATCTCTTGAGAAAGCCATTGAAGATTCAACTATGTTCCTTGTGGTGTTCTCAGAAAACTATGCATCTTCCACGTGGTGCTTGAAGGAACTTGGCAAAATATTAGACTTCTGCAGAAATCAAGGTCACCTTGTTATACCTGTGTTCTATCGAGTAGATCCTTCAGCCGTGAGGAAGCAATCTGGGAGTTACCAGAAAGCATTTGAAAAACATGAGCACAAAGGCATCAACACGCAACAACGGCACAAGTGGAGGGAGGCTCTCACTCATGCTGCCAATTTATCCGGTTGGCATTGTAGCCCCGACAGGTAACTATACATATTATGATATTTCTCTTATAATGCACGGAGCTAAGTAAAATCAATCTTTGAGCATCTGATGAAAGTTGATAATGATAATGGGAGTAGATTATCTTATACACACTCTGCTTAACCAGTCCACTATATATAGGCCCATCAACTTTATTTTAATTTTATCATATTTTAATCCAAATCGCTATTTCATATATATATATATTGTATAAGTCATCTAGCTAGTAATGTTTCTCAAGACAACTATTTTAACAAATTTTAAGAATTGGCAATTCTTGAAAGTTGTGCTTTATTAGGAATAGTTCAAAAATTTGAATAGATAATGCGGGATCAAATTGTCTTTACTTTTCCAATAATGTGCAGGAATGAAGCAGAGCTAATTACAAACATAGTGAAATTTGTTAAGCAGAAGTTGGACTATATGTATCAAAGTAAAGATAATCTGAAAGGCTTGATTGGAATTCAGAAAAGAATGGCGGCTGTAGAATCATTGTTGTGTAAAGGTTCAAATAATGATGGTTGCCAATTCATTGGCATTTGGGGCATGGGCGGTGTGGGCAAAACAACTCTTGCAAGAGCATTGTTTAACAAATTGTGTTTTACATATGATGGGTTTTGCTTTTTGGCTAATGTAAGGGAAGAATCAAGGAGACATGGAATAGATGCTTTGAGGGGAAAACTTATTTTGAAGTTATCAGGGGAGAAAGAATCTCACATTGGCATGCTTGATGCATTAGATCCTTATGCCATGAGTAGTAGACTTGATCGGAAAAAAGTTTTCATTGTGCTTGATGATGTTGATGATGTTGAGCAATTACAAAATTTAGTTGGAAGATATGAATTTGGATCAGGTAGTAAAATCTTGATAACGACCAGAGATAGGCATGTGCTTGATGGTATAAAAGTGGTTGATATATATGTTCTTGATCATTTGAATTCTTATGAAGCTTTTGACCTATTCTCCATCAATACCTTCAGAAACAACTATGCTGACAAGAAGATAAAAAAGCTAGCAAAAAAAGTGATTCAATATGCAGATGGAAATCCATTGGCGCTAAAGGTTTTAGGCTCACTCTTGAATGGCAAAAATCAAGAAGCATGGGAAAGCCAATTGGACAAGCTTCAAAAATTTCCTTGTGTACAAATTAATCATATCCTCAAATCGAGCTTCGAAGAACTTGATAAGGAAGAGAGAAATATTTTCATGCACATCGCATGTTTCTTTGATAATTATAATATTGAGGATGTAAAACACATGTTAAATGCATGTGGTTATTCAACCGATATTGGATTGAAAAGACTTGAAGAGAAAGCTCTTTTAGATGTTCATAAGAAAAGAATAGGTATGCACCATCTGATAAAAGAAATGGGTAGAGAAATTGTCCGTGACGAATCATTAGAGGGTGTTCCTAACAAGTGCAATATATTATGGATTTTCAAGAATAATTCTGAAATATTAAAGAAAAAAATGGTAAGAGTGAAATTTCTAAATGTTTTATTAAAAAAAATTGTTGAATTTCAAATTCCTATTTGATTTATATAATGTTGTTATTTTTTGCTTGTTAGGTGAGTGCAGCCATTGAAGGCATGATTATGGACCTTTCGGAAGTTGAAGAGATGTACATAATTATTGAAGCCCTTTGTTTAATGCCCAAGCTAAAGTTTCTTAAATTTTATGGAAATTTTAATGGTCAGTTCAGGAAGAAGTTAAAAGTTTCTTCTCGTATGAAGTCTTTGCCAAGAAATCTCATGCTACTGGATTGGGTGGGATGCCCTTTAAAGGCCTTGCCGACAAAATTCAAGTATGAAAATCTTGTTGAAATAAACATGCCCAACAGCAATTTGACAAAACTTTGGGAAGGAGAGCAGGTAATTTTTTTCCTTTTTATTTTCCTAGAAAACATTATTAATATACTAATTGAAAAAATTTTATTATGTACTCTCTCTTCAGTCTCTTGAAATATTTAATGAAAGATTAACAACCCATGCTGAAAAAATGCATTTGTCTTTCATCATCACACTGATATTTATAAAAGATTACTGATGATTAGGTCTAATTTTAGAAAATCGTAAAACTTTTGACTTACTAATTTTATTAAAAAAAAATTTGTTAACGTCTTAAAAAAAAAAGAGAGAAAGCAGTTACCTTTGTTTTTGCCACTAATCTGGCAGGTGTAATTTATTTTTCACAGAATCTTGTGAATTTAAGCAGAATAGATCTTCGTGAATCAAAAGACTTGATTGAGCTGCCAAATTTTTCCAAGGCCATACATCTTGCAGAAGTTGATCTCGAAGGTTGTTCAAAA